AAATTAAAACAATACGTGGACTATGTTATGACGAAATTACTTAAAATAAGGTGTATATAATCAATATTACTAAACATTTCCTGCCGTATAAGGTTCTACAACTTTTATACATCCTCATATTTTTTTACAGAAACATAGTTTGGGGCAACACATTCAAATGTTATTTACATAAAACTGAATTTTTAAAACTTATTTCCAACAAAAACAATTTGATAACAATGACTTATTTGATAAACTAGAAATATTAACAATTTTTGACGTCAATAACTACAAATTCTGTTGCCTAAGTTTTAAATTAATAAAAAATATTAATAGTAACTAAAGATGTTCATTTGAAAACGTCAGTGAAGTCGAGGAAGAAAACAGTTGAAACGAGATCTTCAGTCGGTCTGCCATGTGAGATGTCAAGACATACTCCAAGAGGAAGAAATACCTGTTACAATGAGGTTTCAAAATTGAGGTATGCAGTGATAGCCTCATCACCCATACCAGAAATGAGAATCGCAGTTGTCATCTGCAATCGCTAAAAGATATAGGTATTTTTTGTTACTCTCTGTTGGTCTTATCAGGGTTAGCAAATGATCTTATTATTATTTTTATCTAACTGTGGATGCAATGATACATTTTCTATATAAAAACCATGAGATTTGATATAGCTAAAATTGACAACATAATTAAATATACATCTTAAAAAATTTAAGTTATTGATTGTGATGTATAATAAAAGTTAGTTATTATGAATAAATAATTTAAAATGCCTTCAATCAAACTTGACAAAAAAATATATAACTAAAACAAAGAAAAAAGTAAAAAAGCCGTTAAATAAACAAAACTGGCCCTTGACAGCGCACCGTTTCATATTTGAAATTAGTTTGTTTACAAACATCGAAGGCTTAAAAGACATAGTGACAGTCAGTTTAGGATCGAATGTTTTTATGTTGAGAGTCTAAAAAAAAAGTATGTAAGATTTTTTTGAAACACCTAATTTTTTTTGCTGGCCAAAAAATTTGGTTGCAACGAAGAATATTTTTACCGTAAAAAATTTTTAAACTTTATTTAACAAGTTTGATACATAATTAAATTAATTATTAATATCATCCGCGAATGAACTTATTCTTTACAAAAAATTATTCTGTGTATTGATTCATATTGCTTTAATTTTTTAATTTTTAGCTTTAAATTAAAATGTTGAAAGCAAGCGAAATCATAACAGTCTGCTCAGTGTTTTGTGCGTTGTTCGTCTTCTTATACTTCTACATCTACCAGCATGGAGGAAACCGTTACTTCAAATTTCTTTTTTTAAGTTCTCCTCTAAACCTAACGCTAAACAATTCCAGCTTCAAAAATCTTAGCGAAAGGTTTTTAAATACAAAAATTATTTTAATTTATTTTAAGTGTGCTTGGAATTTTAGAATTTAAAAAGTTTTTTTTAATATTTTCTAAGTAGCTATGTAAGTGAATTAGAAGTTGTGTGCAACAACTCAGTAAGAGTGGGTAACATTGGAGACGGAGGATGGGATGTATGTATTAGCGGCCGCTATAATCTTGTTCATCCGTGTCTCATCTATTCGTTCGGGTAAAAATAAGTTGAATTACCTCATTTTCAATTGTTGAATATTTATATCGCACCAGTACTTCCAGAAACGTTCAAACGTTTGGGTAGATTAATAATATATGAGATGTACAATAATAATGAAAATTATTATAAAGGTATTGACTAAATTGTTTTATTACACTAAATAAAAGCATTAAAAGAATTAATTCATGATTAATCATTCCTTATTTAATTTACGACATTAAATTAATTGACGTATTTGTCGTCAAAAATCTAAAGGGATATTGTGGGTAAAAATTGTCCAGACGTCGCTAACTTAAATTTAACACGTGGAGTTCTACAAGGATCAGTTTTGGGGATGCTGCTCTATTTTTTGTACACAGCTGACATCATGAAGTCATGAAGTAGTGAAAGAAACAATTGGCCTTTGATGTTATTTGTATATGGTTTTTTACTTTTTTCCCTACAAAATCATCAAATTATGTTTAACTCAATAAACGTTGTGGACCAATGGGGGCGGCTAACATACCGGGGTTTAATTGAAAAACAAACACACCTGACTTGGCACACCACAGATATTGAGCTTTCTGAACGGTGTTGTCTTGGATTCTCGCTTGTCAGTGGAAAATCATGTCCGAAAAATCGGCTGGATACGTTATGTTTGTATTTCTACTATAGAATCGACTTTTCAAACTCTGCCTACAATATATGGAGTTATTTATTTTGGCAGGGTTCGTTCATTCAGTGCTAAATAAAGAAGAATGGTAGCAAGAATGGTAGCTGGCCTCTCAAAGTTTCATTCTATTTCAGATTACATGCGTGATGAACTTCATTGGCTACGGTTCGAATTTGGTTTGCCGGTTAGAGATTCTTTGGTAGGTGAAACACCATTATATTTGAGTGAATTGAGTAAAAAAGACGCAGACGAAGTCATCGGGCGATGGAAATTTGGTCATTCCATCTTTCTGACCTTCAAATGTTGGCAAACAAAGATTTGCCGTGATGGCGGCTCTAATATGGAAATCACTTCTTGCACAGTTGAAAAATGGACGGCTGTTTTTGAAAGTTGAAAAGCATTATTTCAACATAGTGCACCGTTGAAGCGCTTCTGAAGTTTTCGTTAAATGAGTGCGGTACGTACAAGCCTGGTTACTGATTATTAATAGTATTTATTATTATGTTAATTATTTTAAATTTATTTTAAAAAAATTTGGTCGAGTATACACGTTATGAGTGATTGTAAGTGTTTTGACAGTTGAGAATGCAAAAGATCAAAAGGGGTACATGGTGATAATCAATTGTCACAATGAACGAACGAGTCATCATCACATAATAATAAATTTTGTTTTTTTTTCAAACGTTATTTGTATTGAACAATCCTAATGTTAATGCTTCAATTAAAATTTGAAGTGTTTTGTCAGTCATTTTAAAAATTTTCAATAAAAAATGAACTGCTTCAATGCAAACTAACGCAGGATCAACAACGATTGGTCTTTTGATGACGACATCGTTAAAAGATTCAAGTGTTTGGTACGTGCATTTGATCCAAGGTAAGATTATTTTATATGTTTAGCTAGGTTATAATTTTTTTAATTTAAAAATTGTTTTAACTAAATGCTAGTAAATAGAAACCCGTTTTGACACATATGAAATTTTATTTGTGATTTTAAATAGAATTTTAATCAGGGTGACTTCATTCTACTGATGTTATTGATTATATTTCAAGTTGGAAAGACCAATGAAGGGCCGAAGCTGGATTTAACTTTTCAAATTTTATAAAATCCGAAAATATTAGAAATATTTTCAAATAAAAGCAGATAAATATTTATACTTTTTATTAATAATACATAATCTTAAGCTCAGTTATAAAATATAATTCACCATGCAGCATGCCACAAAACAATTTTATAAGAAACAAAAAGATTTATTTCTACCGCGAAGGACTCGCTGGCTCCGACAAACTTCTTAACAATTTTTGGAGACTCAGGACTTTGAAGTCTTTTAGAAAAATCTTCAACGAACAAAATGTTAGACATCCTAATAAATAATAAAATGAAAAAAATTGACTTCTAACAATATTTTTCTAACATTTAATTCAGGTTACAATTGATTACCTGAAAATAGACATTGAAACTTGGGAGTGGGAGTCTTTGGAGACAGCTCTGAGAGACGGATCATTGGATAATGTTAAACAAATTGGTGTTGAATTTCATAGGAATGCTACTAAGTTTACTGAAAAATATTTTCATAAGAATTTAAAACTATTTTATGGTCTTCAAAACGCTGGCTTTCGAAAATGGCACATTGATATAAACTATGGCGGACTTAATCACATTACAAAACCCCCTGGGGAGATCTTTTGTTGTATTGAAATTTATTTTCTTAATATTCGTTATAATCAAACAGATGTTCAAATAATAAACTAACCGTTCATTTTCTTTTTTTAAATTTTAATTAAATCTTTTCTTGAAATCAACTGAAAACTGTTGATAATTTATGAATATCAATTTGGTAATTAGACGTTACAAACCATAAATCAAGATTGTTTCGCAGAAATGGAATTAATTTTTTCCAAAGAAACTTTCATATTCATTTGACGTTAATTTAAACTTTTGTTCTTTTACAGTTAGAGATCTTTCTTGTCTTGTAAAAAAAAGTCATAACATTTTTTCCTTAAAACTATAATTTAATAGTTTTAAGCATGATATTCAATATCCATGGTTTTAAGGGAAAGATGTTAGGACTTTTATATATATATATATATATATATATATTTATATTATTTGACATTAATAAATTAAAAATAAGTATAAAAAAGTTGAACAATGTTGAAAGTAGTGTTGAATTTTTGAAATGTTGCGTTAACAACAGTCTGTTACCAATATATATATATATATATATATATATATATATATATATATATATATATATATATATATATATATATATATATATATATATATATATATATATATATATATATATATATATATATATATATACATATATAAATAAATATATATATATATATAAAAAAAAATATATATACATCTTTTTAG